GTCTCTCTCTCTTTCTCTATATATATATGTGTGCGTGTGTGTGTGTGTGTGTGTGTGTGTGTGTGTGTGTGTGTGTGTGTGTGTGTGCCGTGTGTGTGTCTGTATGTCTCTGTGTGTGTGTACTTTTGTGTGTAGTGTAGAGGATGCGTATAAGCAGTGCTTAAAAGTTTTCGGTCAGTACAGATTCCGTTTAAAATAAACTTTCCAGTAACATTTCGTATATACCTTATTAAATAATTTATTTTCCTTCTTTCTTTCTTTTCTTTCTTTCTTTCTTTCTTTCTTTCTTTCTTTCTTTCTATGTGTGTGTGTGTGCGTGTGTGTGTGTACAAGTAATGTTAAAAAGTTCTCGGCTCAACCAAAAAGAGATTTTAAAAAAATATAATACTTGAACATTCAGTTAGATTATACGAAGTTTGGCCGCCCGAGAACTTTTCATTTTATTCTTGTATTTTCTTCATTAAATTTGTATAAGGCTTAATTGTAGTAGTAGTAGTAGTAATCTGTCAACGACAATAAGTTTAATGCTGCCATATTGCCATAACTTATTTTATTACTTCAGAAATATTTAATTGACAATTATCTCACCATTAGCAAATTTTAAATATAATTAAATAGTTAGAAGCAAATTTTAGTTATTAGCAAATAGTTATTGCCAAATTTTAAATCTGATTCCACTGAAGTACAGCAATTAAGATTGGGAGGATACTAAATAGGCTGTCTTCCGGGATTCTAGTTAAAAAAAAAAAAAAAGTAAAATTTTAATAATTTACCATTTCTACTGTGATTCTATTACATATTTTATAAGTTAATGAAATGACAATTTCATAAAAACTTAAACTTTCTTTTTCATTTTAATGGTTTCATAGTAGTTTGAATTGTTTATGTAGTCAGCATTTGTAACAACGTCGATGACGATGATGATTTGCTAAGTTTAATATAACCAAGCAATGAGCCACATTAAAGGCTCACATATTGAGCATTAAATTCACTATAATTTTTAGAATATTCAACAATACTAGCTTATAAAATTTGCCTTGTAAAGATAATCATGTTGTGTGAATGCATTCATAAACTAACAAAATTGTAGACAGCAACTATTATTATTATTATTATTATTATTATTATTATTATTATTATTATTTGTCTATGTTATGTTTACTGCATTGTATCCTATAGAGCCGGATCCAAACAATGATCCTTAGGCCCTATAGGGGAATTGTCATTTAATTGATAGCACATTTTTTAGTATATGGGATTTTACTAGTATGGTCATCTTCTGGGCAACCTGTATATTGATATTATCTGGGACACTGTTAGTAAAATTGTCCCGATTACTATTGGTACAGTATCAGTATTCACTCACCACATCATGTTAATCTTGATCTTCTGGTCCTTTTAGACAATTTCTTGATATTATTATTATTATTATTATTATTATTATTATTATTATTATTATTATTATTTATCCCATTGAGTGTTCAAACGAATACATCACCATAATTTATTAAATGTCAGAGTTATATAACACATTCAGTGATTTAATTGGCCTAAAAGTGAGGTTTAGTTAATAACCCTACTTAACTAATATTAAATATGGAATTTCATCCTCGGACAAAACACAAGCCTAATAATAAACATGACCAGTAAATTCACCTTCATCAGTTAAAATTATTATTATTATTATTATTATTATTATTATTATTATTATATTCGATTTCGATTAGCGTGGGCTGTACTTAAGCTGGGATTTCTCTTAAACTGAGATATGTGATGTTGTGTTCCTTTTTTTATTAATCTAAGCGCACCTACTATTACTGATAATATTCTTGTTTTCATTTTCCACATTTTTCTATAATTATTATTATTATCATTATTATTATTTGTGTATGTTATATTTCCTGCTTTGTATCCTACAGAGCTGGGTCCAAACTATGATCCTTAGGTCCTAAACGAGAATTGTCATTTAATTGATGGCACTTTTCTTAGTATATGAGATATTCCTATTAGGGCGATTTTCTGGGCAACTTGTATGTTGATGTTACCTGGGACAATGTTAGTAAAATTACCCATTCCTTTTCTCACGAGACCCAGACCTCCGATTACTTTTGCTACGGTCTCAGTCTTCATTCCCCCCACATTCTGTTAATCTCGATCTCCTGGTCATTGTATTTGGGCAATTTCTCCATAATTTTCATGGAGGTGTTTCTCTCAGATGGTACTGCTATGTCGATAAGCATGCACTTCCTTAATTTCTTATCTATTATTATTATTATTATTATTATTATTATTATTAATAGCATGCATCATTTGTGCGGGGCGTAGCTGAGTGGTCTTAAATACTGACTTGGATCAGCTTAAATTTCCGCCTACCCAGAAAGAAAGATATTTAGCATTCCAAATAAAACAAACGTATCATTTTCTTCTTCTTTTATTCCGTACCAGATTCTCAATACTGACAGTTCTTGTTTCAAAAGAATATAATTAAATTCAAGAAAATATCTGATGTAATGAATATGCATACACCTGGGTTCCCCCTCTCAGTAATATGATTGGCTGGTGTCAGCCATAAATACAGACTGATGTGGAGATACATGGACTACGCCTATTTTCTTCGACTATTGTCTACCGTTACGACGAGGATCAGTCCATTATGGTCACCTGCTAGATTGTCCTACTCGATTACAGTCGTCAACAACCACTTTGCTACTTTCGAACAAATATATCCCTTTCCGGGACATATCCATATCATATTCTGCTTTTCAGACGTTTCTTTATTTACTTTTACTTCTTTATTTCAAAGGGGAAAATTACATCAACCGTTAGTTTTTCTGTGTAAGAGCAATAATATTTGAGTACGAAATAACGATTTTGCTTTTTCATGGATAATATCACCGCTCTTTTTGAAGTGGGGTAAGTGAATTATTTATTAAATACTGTTTGTGGCAATACAAAGAAAAACAAAATAGAGCGACATATAATTGACTAGAACAGAAGCAGATATAATCAGTAACGACTATTATAATAATTGCGACCATTATTAACTAATGTTATTCAAATTATTGTAACCACAACGAAAAATAATTTTATTGGTAAAATTATTAGTATTGTAAGTAGATGCTGAAGAGTTTTCAACCCAAGAGTCACTTCAAATTCGAATGTTTGGTCACATAGATTATAATAATAATAATAATAATAATAATACTAACCAAAATGATTGACATAACTCTTTCAATATTTTTCAACACTTTTTTCTTTTCCTTTTCTTAAATATTGCTCATCTCTTAAGTGTTGTAATAATAATAATAATAATAATAATAATAATAATAATAATATGTTTTATTTCTTTTTCAAAAATGTTCAATACAAAATGTTATATTGCAATTTCTGACCTTAGGTCTCTGGTTGGGACCCGGAAGGAAATGGGTTGACAAAAGAAATCAAAGGAAATGATAATAACTAATAATATTAATATTTTAACTGCTACAGTAGCTTTATTAATATAATTGTATCATTTATATATATATATAAATATATATATATATATATATATACAATTATTATTATATTCTTACTCTGTCCTGGACATTGAGTTCTACCTGGATTCTATCCTGTTGGGAATTTATATATATATATATATATATATATATATATATTATAATAATATTTTAAGGAACCCCGGATTATGCGCCCAACGTGTTCTTTTCTATTTTCTGCATACCTACGCACTTATACTTATATATATATATATATATATATATATATATATATATATATATATATATATATATATATATATATATATATATATTACTATTATTTTTCGACTTTATCTTGTTATTTTTTTTTATTATTTCTTATAAAATTTACAAGATTGTCATTTTACAATCGTTAAATATGCAACACAATCCGGCCGTAATAATAATAATAATAATAATAGATTTCTTATACCACATGCCTTAAAGAAATACAAAAAACTGTACTCACAAGTATAGCTCACAGATTACGAACAGATTTATCTATGTAAAATGTTTGTAGTCATGGGTTTTTTCTTTCTTTCTTTTATAAAAAAAAGATCAGTGGAAAATGTCATGAAGTAATTTTTGACCTTAGATCTCTGGTTGGAACCCGGAAGGAAATGAGTGTATACAACAGAACTCAAAGGAAATAATAATAATAATAATAATAATAATAATAATAATAATAATAATAATAATAATAAAATAAAGTTTTTAGACATAAGAAGAATTTTCCTTCTCATTCAATTCTGATGAACCCTTGCGTCTTGGTGGCATTATCACCTCGTTTGCCTCGGCGCCTTTTACTCTGTAGCCCTCTACATCGCGTGGCTCTTGGACCTTATAAAGAATGAGAATCATTTTAAAAAAAGAAAAGAAATAATATCGATGTAAAAAGTGCATTTAATAGCTTAAAACTTTAGATCGAAAAGAACTGCAATACACAGACAGAAATCGGTTGTCATGATGGCTTCCCGTGGCCTAATTGTTAATACGCATATGGTTTGAAAGTGGTTTCTCTGATTGAAAAACGTAATACAGTTTCGGTTCTTATCAGGAGGCATATTTTCCTTCGTTGAACTTTTCAGTCTCTAGAGAGATTAACATTGTTTTTTCAGTTTCCAATAATAATGAGTGGAAAACATCATGAAGCCATTTCTGACCTTAGGTCTCTGGTTGGGATCCGGAATGAAATGTTTATACAACAGAAATCAAAGAAATTAGTAATAAAAAGATCAATGAAATTCTATTAAAAATTTTATAATTGAAAATGCTTCCATTAAGAAGTATGAATTCCCTCTTATAATACACTGTCTTTTAAATCATAAAGCTTATAAACATGATAAGACTCAGGTTAATATCAAAACATATTTTAAGCATGAAGCAAGACAGAGATTTTTAATGTTATTCCACAGCGCCTAAGTTTAAAGAATATAAGTGTAATAACTGAAAATAAGTAAAATAGGTGAAGTATGAAATAAT